GTTCATCTCCTTCTTCTTTAGTACTGTTCTGTTTTTCAGCGTCAGGCTTTGAAGAGGCATCTGGGGCGCGGAGCCTTGGTATGCGCTTGGAAGATTCTAGTATTTATGGCCTCATAAATCCCATCTATTTCTCTGTGTGGCAGACCATTTGGTCTGCTTCAACATCTAATTGACAAGACTTTATGTGGTAGTCTTGACACGTGTCCAAATCGCTTGATCGGCTGTCTCACTATGTAGTTTATTACCTGGTTCCGTCACAGCTTCTTTCCTGATACCGTCATTTCTGAACCTGTCTCTTATAATTACATTTAGGATTCGTCATAGACGTTTCATTTCTGTTGTATACGTCGTTGTCAGAAACCACAAACAACCAGTAAATGCTGGGGTTTGTGTGCAACGTTGTCAAAAACCACAAACAAACAGTAAATTCTGGTGTTTGATTGCGACGTTGTCAAAATCCACGGTCAGACAGCGAATGATAGGAGTTGAATGCGTCGTCCTCAAAAACTTAAAACAGCCAATAAATGCATAGATTTGTTAGCGACGTTCTCAAAAGGATGAGTTATTTAAAGTTGGCCGTAACCTTCATCATCCTTCTTGTAAGATGCAATTTTTCATTATTTTGAAGCCTCACCCTAGTTGTTGCCAGGGGCCTCAATATAACCTAACGATTGAAAGCGGCTTCCGAGACTTCTTCACGGGTGATCCTCATCCGCATGGTGGCACTTTGTGTCAACGGGTGTTGGTCGCTCTGTGGATGTCAGGGGGGGGGGGGGGGGGGGGGGGGGGGGGGGGAGTAAAATTTGCTTACTTGATTTGCCGCGCATGTTGCGCCGTGGCCACACACTTTCCTGTCAACACGATGGCCTAGTACCACGACTTTTGTTTCGGGCGAGCAATGCTATTAACGCATTTGGCACACAGGTTCGACTGAGTCTTTATCACCTCCCTCGTCTTAAGGTTCACCAGCGGAAAGTTTTGTTTGTTTGCCCACTTCTGGACTTTAATCTTGATCCAGAATCTGGGTTACGCGTGACATCCTATTTGCACGCCTGGCTTGTCTTTATGCTGGCTGTTGGTTCCTCGCCTTGATGAACTCCGACTTTAAAGAAAAACCAGCCTATACTAAGTTCATCCTCTGTGGTGCAGCAGCTAGACCCTCACCTGTGAATCAGAAGGTCGTGGGTCCAGGTCCTGTCGGAACCGGACTATTTACAAAAATGTCATTGGCTTCCTGGTCGACCTAGCCTTAGATGGGTACCTGGTGAAGTTCTAGAAAGTAAAGGCGGCCAGCATGATGTTAACCACATCGCCCACTGAGTAACGATTTGTCTGTTAAATGTAGGTCTAGCCCTATTTGCCAAATACGCCTAGACGTTCTGTCACTCTGTATGTTGTGGTGTGTATGTATCCGTCTCTGTAAGTTGCTATTTATATGTATTTATCTCTATATGTTACTGTTTATATGTATCCGTCTCTGTATGTTGCTGTGTATCTGTATCCGTCTCTGTATGTTGCTGTGTATATGTATCCGTCTCTGTAAGTTGCTGTGTATATGTATCCGTCTCTGTATGTTGCTGTGTATATGTATCCGTCTCTGTATGTTGCTGTGTATATGTATCTGTCTCTGTAAGTTGATGTGTATATGTATTTATCTCTATATGTTACTGTGTATATGTATCTGTCTCTATATGTTACTGTGTTTACGTATATGTCTCTATATGTTGCTGTGTATACGTATCTGTCTCAGTATGTTGCTGTGTATAGGTATATGTCTCTGTATGTTGCTGTGTATATGTATCGGTCTCTGTATGTTGCTGTGTATACGTATCTGCCTCTGTATGTTGCTGTGTATGCGTATCTGTCTCTATATGTTACTGTGTATACGAATCTGTCTCTATATGTTACTGTGTATACGTATATGTCTCTATATGTTGCTGTGTATACGTATTTGTCTCTATATGTTGCTGTGTATATGCATCTGGCCCTATATGTTGCTGTGTATATGTATCTGTCTCTATATGCTGCTCTGTATATGTATCTATCTCTGTAGTGAATGTCACTTTTTTCTCTCCAAATGCACCCCTTACCCAACTATCTTTTCCTCTCTCTCTCTCTCTCTCTCTCTCTCTCTCTCTTTCTCTTTGTCTCTCTCTCTCTCTCTCTATATATATATATATATATATATATATATATATACATATATATATATACACATACACACATATATACATATAAAGAGAGAGAGAGAGAGAGAGAGAGAGAGAGAGCGAGAGAGAGAAAGAGAAAGAGAGAGAGAGTAAGAGATGCATAGGTCACGTTAGTACGAACACTGGTCTTGAAATCCTGTGACAATTAGCCCTGCTAACGACAGTTTCCTGTGACTCCGAGAAGTCAGCGCTTGAATGATCTTGCTTGTCCTGGGCTCTTTAGGATTTCCATAGGCATTCTCTGTTTTCCCGATGTCTCTTTTATATTATTTTCCTGTTTACCAAACGTTCCTTATAATGTCTTTATTTCGCTTACTTTGATCAAACAAAACAAGCTACGCTGTAAATGGCTTTAACTCTTTCGGCCTGAAGAAACGTAGGAGTTGTTAGTAACAATTCTTTATGAATTCAAACAACCACACAGTGACTGACTGACTTTTTACCCCACTAGGACATCACACGAGCGATAAACACCCGGTGACACACTGTGTCACTATGCGGAATAGGATCACCCGTGGAAAGGTCCAGAAACCCCTTTCAGCTGTTAGGCTACATCTATGGCTAGGCCATATCTATGCCCGGCTATATGCAGGGCCACTAACAGAAGCCAGGGCGGGGCTTTGAATAACGAAAAATTGCATCCCACATGGGGATGCTAATAACAAACCACACTGTTCTTTGATCCATTATTATTTGGCAGCGATTTTGTGTCAGAATATGTCTTCACCAGAGGTCATTTCACTGCACGGGCCCCGAAACCATGGGCGCCCGCAAGGGGGGGGGGGAGGAGAGGGGCAAGAGGGCACTTGTCCCCCCCCCCCCCGCCCCCGGATTGATTGAAAATAGTCATTCTTTCCCTGCCGTCTGAAGCAAGTGCCGCGTCACGTAAACTCCGCGCGTCGTATTGTATTTACATAAGCAAATACTCCTGTAACCTTTATATAAATAAACTTGTGAGCATTACTAAACCTTAGATTCCTATCGATCTTAAGCTTAAGTATCGTTTGCTAACTGATCCATGCAAGCCTCACCTGTAATATGATTTTGAAGGCGACATGTCGGCAAGTGGAAAACGTTGTTTCAGGGAATCTGGGCTAACCCAGTATACTCCATGGTTATCATATTCACCTAGGTTAAAAGGTGCTTTTTTGCATTTTCTGTGTTTTATTTCCGCAACCAGTTCAAAGAGGAATTCAAGGTGCCTTCATTACTACTCCTTGTACAAAGTACAAAGATTTTAATGAATGTGCCAGAAACCATACCAGCTCAGCATGGCATCATGGGTCTCAACAAGATGCTGAACACTTCGCGTCAACCATTAGAGATCCAAATAAGGATATTATTTGCCAGGTAGATAATTCTGTAAAACGAACTATTGAAGGAAATAGAAAGAAACTGTATCCTATTATTTCAACAATCTTACTTTGCGGAACAAATGATTTGGCAATTCGTGGGAAAGATAGCACCAAAAGAAATGTCGAACAACTTTATGCGTGTCGAATTGAGGGAGTAGACAGTATTTTAAAAAACCATTTTGATACAGATGCTGGAAATGCACGTTACACATCACATCGAACGCAGAATGATTTGATCAGTTTGTCTGAACAAGCTTTGCGAGAAGATATTGTAAAAGCTGCTAACAATGCTCTTGGATTCTCAATCATAGCCGATGAAACAGCAGAAATCTTAGGAACAGAACAGTTATCACTGGGAGTCCGGCTAGTAGATGTCTGTCTAGTGAGCAGGCTATGATTCGTGAGGAATTCCTTGGATTTTCTCCGCTGAACGGTATGGACGCTGCCACGATATCTGATTGTATTATTCAACATTGCAAAACATTTGGTCTTCTCCTTAATAATCTGCTGGGTCAAGGTTATGATGGGTGCTCGACAATGGCCGGAAAAGAAAAAAATGGTGTTCAGGCAAAAATTCGAAGTATTTACCCTAAGGCTGCCTTTGTTCACTGTGCCTCGCATAGACCGAATCTCGCAGTAAATGATCTTAATAATGTTGCAGTAATACGAAATACTATTGGTACTATCAAAGCAATTATTACATTTTTTCGCGAAAGCCCAAAAAGGAGGTCCTGTGTCCCAAATATTCCTCTTGTGTGAGACAAGATGGACAAGCAAGTATAAAAGTATTCTGATTTTTTCTAATAAATTTGAAGATATTTATTGTCAACTGGAAGAATTTTCATTGCATGCAAGTGGAAATACACGACAGGCTGCACATCAGTTATTTTGTTCATCAAAGTCCAGCACGTTTTTATTTTGTCTCAGTATTATTTCGCAGTACTCTGCCATACTGGAACCATTACTCAGGCTCTTCAAGCTGTTCAAGTTGATCTTCCAGAAGTCCAACTGCAAGTTCAAATCCTGCTCAGTGTAGTAAAACTTCACCGAGGTGATTCGGATAACTATTTCAGGGATATTTTTGAGAAAACAGTACAACTCGCACAGAAAGTGGATATTGAACTGATTATCCTAAGACAGCGTGGAAGACAAAAGCATCGAAGTAATCCGGGAACCATAAGTGTTGAAGAGTACTTCAGACAAACAGTTTACATTCCATACTTAGATTACGTCGTGTAAAAACATGGCTTAGATCTACAATGTCAGATGAACGTCTGTCTGGATTGTGCATGTTAAGCGTACAGAGAGACAAAGTGCATGATCTTTACGGATTTGTTTTAAATCAGGAACTCCATTTTCGCCCATTAATCTCCAGACATGAAAAGGACTCTTTACTTTTCCCTACAGATTCAATCAGCAACTGTGAGCTATAGCCATGTCTGGAAGGGTTGCAGTTATTGGGGCAGGCTCATCTGGCATCGCAGGAGTGAAATGTTTGCAGGATGCTGGTTTTAAGGATATCGTCTGTTATGAACGCAGAGATGTTGCAGGCGGACTCTGGCATTTCAAAGAAGATGTGAGTAGCCCAGTCAATCAATCAGGTGCCGTCTCCACAATGAAGGTTGGCTGCAATGGATCTCTAACAAGCCCTGTCTCTTGCCCTTGATGTACACTCACTCATACTGCTGTTCGTCCATATCTTGATGTTATCCTCCCACTTGTAACGTTGTCTGCCTTTTGCTCGCCTACCTTGAACTTTTCCCTCTAGGATTATCTTTACAATACTGTTATGTCTTTTAATGGGGCCAAAATATTTCACTTGTCTCTTTTTTAATTCACCTAGCAACTCTCTTTTCAATCCCAATTTCCTCAGTATCTCTGTATTTGATAGCTTTTGTTTCCATGAAATACGACCTAATCTTCTGTATATCCACATCTCCAAAGAATTGATACGATTTTCCAGTTGTTTGTTTATTGTCCATGTCTCTGTGCCATGCTGTAAGGTTGAGAATACATAACATTTGACAATTCTCATTTTTAATGTATTGCTTATTTCTCTTGATGTCAGTAACTTTTCCATGTTGTTGAAAATGTTTTTGGCCATCCCTATTCATTTCTTGACTTCTGTTTCACTGCCGTCACATGTTATTACTTGTCCAAGATATAAGAAATTTTTAACTTGTTCCAATTTCACCCCGTTCACTGTGATATTCATTGTTAGCTGATTATTTTCTTTGCTAAATATCATGATTTTTATCTTTTTCAAATGTATATCTAATCTAAATTCTGCACTCCTTCTGTTTACTTGCTCCACTAGGTCTTGCAACTCCTGCTCACTCTCTGCTAGCAACAGAGTAGCCCAGTACAAGAATACTATTACAAGGCATAGTTTGTTTTCCACGTTAAACATGAAGATATTTCTTTAGGCCAGAGATATAAACAAACAATATATTGCACAATATATTGCCTGGCAATATTTTATGTCAGAAAAAACAAAACAAAAAAAACTGTAATTTCAGCATGTATTTACAACTTGTGCAATATAGGTATACAGGTTTTTGAACCTGCGAATGTAGGGGTGCATTGCTAGCGCAGTCACCAGGGACCATGAAGATTTATCATCAGCACAGAACATTATTCTCTAATCGTGTGGTTTCTAGGCCCCATTGTGGGGACAACAAGAATAGACCCACTGCCTACACAAAAACATGTCATAAGAGTCTACTAACTTTGAGCTTCCTTCAAAGTCGGACTACATCTGCCTGAGAGGCAAGGAACCAACAGTCTGCAAACAAATAAGTCAGACATGTGAAACAGATATGCACACAGCCCTCAGTTTCTGGAAGAAGACGAGAGTCCAGAAGTGGACGAAACACCAGAACTTTCCACTAGAATTTAAAGCTGGTGAAGGCGAAGAAGAAGAACATCATTCTCATCATGGTACCCCCGAAGGTCTGTCTTTCTCTAGCCAATTCTACAACCCTATGTGCTTTCACAGCCATTGCATCTTCTGTAACATGTGTTTACCTTCGCAAAAGTCTGTCTCTGCCTCGTTTTTTGGAAGCTGTACCCACTATTGCTGTTCTCTCCAGGCCACCTTCATGTTCAACATGGCAAAAATTATCTCCTCAGCTTTCCATACATCAATTCTTCTTGATGCTCACATCATTAGGGATGCTGTTGTTTTTCTCCTTTTTTTTGTTCCATGGGTTCCTAAGAATTTTCCTGTAGCATTTCAGTTTAAATGCTTTGATTTGTTTCTCCGATAATTGAGTACAATCATGCCATGGGTTTCAGACTGCTCAGTGGGTAGACGAGTCATGCGTGAACAGGTCAACAGTTATCAACACCAGCAAAGAGTTTATGTGTTACTCTGACTATCCAATGCCCGATCACTACCCAAACTTCTGTCACAATTCTGATGTAAGTATTCCCTCTATGTATGGGTGGGTGAAGATTTAGAATGGGTGAGTGGTTGATCTATATGCATTTCTTGAAATGTCAAGATTTAGAATGGATGAGTGGTTGGTCCTCTGCCTTTCCTGTAATTTGAAGTTTAAGAATGAGTGAGTGGTTGATCTATCTGCATTTCTTGTAATGTGAAGACTTAGAATGGATGAGTGGTTGGTCCTCTGCCTTTCTTGTAATTTGAAGATTAAGAATGAGTGAGTGGTTGGTCTTTCTGCATTTCTTGTAATGTGAAGATTTAGAATGGATGAGTGGTTGGTCTATCTGCATTTCCTGTAATTTGAATATTTAAAATGGATGGGTTGCTGGCTGGTCTATCTGCATTTCTTGTTATGTGATGATTTAGAATGGATGGGTGGTTGGTCTATCTGTTTTCCATGTGTAATAAAACTAATGTTAACATAGTTAAAATAGATGTTAAGATGTTTAAAGTGCAGTGTTCACAGTTTAAATTTGTGAGCGATGGGTCTACCTGTTGTTCACAGGCATTGTTAACATGAATGTAAATAGTTTTGAGTTGGAGTATTTTATGATCTTGTGTAATGTTAGCCTATTTCAAAAAGATGGGACAGACTGTACCTGCAATTTACATGCCATTTTAGCAGAGTGTAAACTTCTACCACAGTCATACATTTTTCCCCATGTCCTGGTCTTCCATTTTGGTGGGTGGGTGGGGAAGGGGGGTGGGGCGGTGGGATAGACCAACTGCCCCCTTAACAAGCATGTCGTACAAAGCAAATGATTAGGGTTTTTCCTTTGAGTCAGAGTGCATCTGTGGGAAATGTAAGGAACTAAAAGTCTGCTTACAAATTAGCCAGGTCTGTAAAATGGAAGTGCATGCAAAACTCAAGTTCCGGACCAAGATTAAAGTGCAGAAGTGGAGGAACAATCATAACTTTCCACTGAAGTTTACAGTTAGTGAAAGCAAATACGAAGAAGAAGAAGTGTACTTGCAGTTTATGTGTAATGTGTACATAGTTGAAACCTATACCATAGTTGTACATGATTGTTCATGCACCAGCTGTTTTTGAAATACCTTTGGTTAAAACTAACATTGGTCTCCCCAAACAAAGCAGGTCACGTTTCATTCATAAGTTTATTGGGTTGGTCTACCTTCTTGCTGGTTACGAGTGTGCCCCTCTGTTGTTTGCTTTCTGGGTTATCTTGCATTTACATTTTTATTCTGAAAAGGAGAATGAATCACTCTCAATGGGGTTTGTGCTAGACCCAGTTTGTTTATGTTTTTGGAGTGTTAAAAGTGATGGCGTGCTCAAGTTTACAACACAAGATATCAACTGCATTGCGGAAAACTCATGTAATCTTGTGCCAGAGTAATGTGGCTCAAGGTCGACCATACAGAAGTGCGCTTGTGTAAATGGGGGAGACCAACGTTAGTTTTACCCATTTTTTTCTCCAAATTGTAACAAATGTAATATTTCTCTCAAGGTGGAGGCATACTTCCTGGACTACTGCAAGCATTTTGGAGCAGATAAATACATCAAGTACAACACTGAAGTTGTTGGCCTGAAAAAGCACAGCACTTACAACAGGTTTCTTGTTTTTCCTTATGTTTCTTTCTGTTTACAAGCACAGCTGAAAAAAGATACCAGTAGTCATCATAAAATGTCTATTAGAGTAGTCATTCAGTCAGTCAGTTGCATTTACTTTTGCAGAACTTTGCACCCATCACAAAAGTAAGTAATTAAAGTAAAGGACCCTTTTCCACGCCTTTAAACGAATAGGACATATAGGGCTCGACCTATATTTTAATAGACCAATCGGCTGAAGATGGGTGATGTGGTCAGCATCACGCCGGCCGCCTTTACTTCCCGGAACTGCACCCTGTACCCACTCAAGGCTGGGTCGACCTGGGAGCCAAAGTCATTTTTTAAAGAGTCCGGCTCTGCCAGGGAGCGAGCCAACGATATTCCGATCAGCGGCGAGCGTCTGGCCACTCTACCACATCGACTCCCTCACCTATAACAACTCTCTGGAAAACTTCTTGATCACAAGCAAGATGTCCCATGTCTGACATACAGTAGTGCTGCCAAAAAAAAAAAAAAATGATGCTTAAAATAAGTGATGAGACCGTGCAACATTGAGTCCTGCCAGGAAAAGTAGTAACAGTAATTTGTTTCAGAAATATCCTGTTCAACCCTCTGGGTTATAATTGGGATATATAGTGTTAATCAAGTTCTCAGAGTTTATATTTGTTATTTTATATTTATCGCGTAATTATTTATATGACGGATATGTAATCTGCATTGTTTCATATATTGCTTTGTTTTGGGTTGTGACTATGATTGAAATTGTACTATAAACAGTAACAAGACAACTTTACTAACATCATCTCATTATAATGTTGGATTTATTATTTCTTTAGTGCAATAGTTGATTATTCTCCTCAGTTTTATCTTTAAGGAAATCTTCAAGGTGGCAACGACATTTTGTAACCTTCTATAGGGCCAATATTGATTTTAAATCTAGTAATAAAATTGCTTGAACTTGCCACACAGGTCTCTGGGGTTGTTTATGTAACCCTGCCACACAGGTCTCTGGGGTTGTTTATGTAACCTTGCCACACAGGTCTCTGGGGTTGTTTATGTAACCTTGCCACACAGGTCTCTGGGGTTGTTTATGTAACCCTGCCACACAGGTCTCTGGGGTTGTTTATGTAACCTTGCCACACAGGTCTCTGGGGTTGTTTATGTAACCTTGCCACACAGGTCTCTGGGGTTGTTTATGTAACCCTGCCACACAGGTCTCTGGGGTTGTTTATGTAACCTTGCCACACAGGTCTCTGGGGTTGTTTATGTAACCTTGCCACACAGGTCTCTGGGGTTGTTTATGTAACCCTGCCACGCAGGTCTCTGGGGTTGTTTATGTAACCTTGCCACACAGGTCTCTGGGGTTGTTTATGTAACCTTGTTACACAGGTCTCTGGGGTTGTTTATGTAACCTTGCTACACAGGTCTCTGGGGTTGTTTATGTAACCTTGCTACACAGGTCTCTGGGGCTGTTTATGTACCCTTGCTACACAGGTCTCTGGGGCTGTTTATGTAACCCTGTTACACAGGTCTCTGGGGCTGTTTATGTACCCTTGCTACACAGGTCTCTGGGGTTGTTTTTGTAACCCTGCCCCACAGGTCTCTGGGGTTGTTTATGTAACCTTGCTACACAGATCTCTGGGGCTGTTTATGTAACTCTGGCATACAGGTCTCTGGGGCTGTTTATGTAGTCATGCCACACAGGTCTCAGAGCTGTTTATGTAACCCTGCCACACAGGTCTCTTGGGCTGTTTATGTAACCCTGCCACACAGGTCTCTGGGACTGTTTATGTAACCCTGCCACACAGGTCTCTAGGGCTGTTTATGTAACCCTGCCACACAGGTCTTTGGGACTGTTTATGTGCAACGTTTTCTTTTGTCATAGGTAATTTATGTAAGCATTTAATTAATGGTTTTGTTTGGTTTCATATCTCCTACGCATCAGAAAATTTTGCTCCATGGTATTGTATTTCTGGTATAGATTACAGGTCACTGCTTTAGCGACTCAGCAGCTTTAGGATTTTAACCTTACAAAACACTAGTGGCAGAGTGCTGGAGAAGATAGTTGCGGGTAAGCTACAAGAATTTTTGGATCAAAGAAAGCTCCTTCCAGGAGGTTTGGGAAGTTACAGGCCAGAGAAAGACACATTGTGAAATGCAGCCATTTTTGTCTTTGACACTTTCAAATTTTCCAGAAGAGACAGGAAAGAATGGTAGCGGCACTTAATTTAGAAGATGCTTACAACAGTGTCAGATATATTATTTTGATGACAGCGCTTATGAAGAAGGGAGTCTGTTCTTGGTTGGCGAACTTGATAGCAGCTGTTTTGCTTTCTCATCGGATAGCTTCCTGCCTGAGCTCATTAACCTCAAAACTGTGTATAATAGCCCCAGGACTACTACATAGATCTGCAGTTTCACCTGTGCTTTTAAATCTGTTTACAAGCAAGACTGCAGGCCTATAAACACATGGAGTCTGCAGAACATTGTCATTTGCAGATGATGTTCTCACCTATAGTATGTGCTCTGAATGGATAGAAAGCATTTGGAAATCGCACCTAATCTCCGTAATCTGGATCTACACACCGGGTCATACGGGCGTAAAGGAAAATGAGTAAGCGGACCAACTGGCAAGCACTGCACTAATGAATGCGGGAAAAAGTATGGACAGAGCAGATATCGTCAACGCTGTACGGGCTGGGCTAGTGAATAATCAGGAATCCCTGACACTGGCACGATTGCGTTACATGGGAATTAAGCATGGTGGTGCACGTCTTTGCCGTCTTCAGGGCCGAGAAAGGAGACGATATAACCAGCTTCTCATGGAGACAATTAGAAGAAGTACTTTGGAGTGGCTGCTGCTTCGGAGAACTGAGCATGCATGGGTATGCCTTATGTGCAATGACATCAAGTGTGATAACAAAACATAAAATAATATCTTGTAGGGAGTCGGCAGTCCGAAACCCAAGTTCAAGGTGTCTCCTTCGTGCCAAAAAACTACATGGCTGTTGGGTGAACAGTCGTTAACGAAGGCAGGCAGGTCGTTGTAGGGGCGACGCCTGCTGGTGGATCTAATGTCTTAAGTCCCTTCCCCAGCTAATAATGAGGGTACTGCTGGGGTGACCGTTTATTAACTCTCATATAATGCTTCAGGTCAAAATGAACGCTAGGCACGGCCACCTTTATTTTTTTCATCCAGACTGTGGCCGTTGCATTTTTTCTCCATTTGTAGACTGGAAGGATATAGTTTCGTAGCCCAGCTTCTGAGTTGAGTGCATGGCGTGACACTGTGAGCTATGTGTATTTTTCGTTGGCACAGGAGCGGAGCAACTATGGGGTGACCCGTTTGCCATGAAGCTGAAACTAGGATTACCAGATTACCAGATTACCAGATTACCAATAGGCAGGGAAACGATCGGAATCATATAGCTCAAGAGTTGCAGGTGACAGTAAATTAGATGACCAACTGGTGTGCAGAGATCAATGCTGTAATCAACCCAGAAAAAGCAACCATCCTGTGGTGTTCTTTGGACAACAGTATTGTTATAGCTGAAGCTCCAAGCCTCAAAATATATGGCAGGGTCATCAAAAGAGACAGCAGAAAGCGGTACCTGACAGAAGCTTGTCTTTCAGGGATCAAATAGGGGAGGTTGTGACTAAGTTCCAAAAAGGTCATAATGCACTAAAGATTAGGGCAGCAATGAACATGGAGCAGAGAATGCTATTCACACTATCCTAGCACTTAATCCTCTCAGGGACTGATTATGGACTGGTGCTGCTCATTGTCTTGAAGAGACAGCTAGTGAAGCTGGAGCACTTACAGAATGAAGCCATGCAGATGATCCTGGGATATACAAAAGACACTCTGGTTGTGTGCTTGCGATACATCCTTCCATTGCCGATAGGCTGAAGGTGGTACAAGCTAAGTCATTCCTCAGAGTAGCTGCAGACAAAGAGCACACTGTGCTTGCTGCTGAAGACTGGGGCAGAGCGCATATGTGAATGCTCCAAGTGCTGTGATATCAGTTTTTGACTCGGGTCATTTACAGATTGCTTCCTGCATACTAAAGCAGTTCCACCCATCCAAGTTGTAGTCTCAGCAACTGTCGATTGCATGGCCAGAAAAAAACTTGTCTTTCATAATCTCAGGATACTAGCATTTGGTTTCTGCTGCTAGCAGTTTATAAAAAATACAATTTTATAGACAGTGATATGAGAGTCACACCATGGAAGACATTAGTGTACTTGTCATGCTGTATTTCCCAAGATGTCAGTGTATGTGTGTGTATATGTATATATCTACTACGGTCAACCTCTGCTGTGAAAGCACCATACATTTTATTGGGGCATCAAGCAAAAAATAATTAAACATAAATAAAAAGAAATGTATTTGAAAAAGACAGGATTTGCTTCATGACACAACATGGTTAGTTTCTCTCCACAGCATGTCTGTCTGTCTGATCAATCCCCAGACCTTCTCACAATAATCATATTTTGTGGCACACTGTGTCAATTAAACTTTGGAACAGGTAACACTGGCAAAACTTAACAAACAGGCAAACAGAGGAATGTAGCAGGACATTATTCTTGGCAGCAATTTGTCTTGACTTGGAAAGTGGAATAAGCATCAGCACATGAACCGAGACACACTGGAGATTGCAGCAGCATGAGCGTCAGTTGGCGAGGCTCTTGATGATTATGATGATGCTAGGACATCAAAGAAAAGGGGTCACCCACAAAAAACTTAAATTTGCAAAATTTTGGAGACGAAAATAAAAAAAAAGAAGAAAAATAAGTAGGGATGAAGAAAAAAAAACGATGATCAGAAGGAGGAGGAGGAGGAGAAGAATAAGAAGAAGAAAAAGAAGATGACGAAGAAGAAGAAGAAGAAGAAAAAGAAGAATAGGAAGAGGAAATAAATAGGAGGAGGTGGAGTAGAAAAAGGCGAAGAAAAATAAGAAGAAGAGGAACAAAACGAAGAAGAAGGAGGAGAAGGAGACGGAGAAAGATTCTATATCTATGATATAAATTTTGGTTATGGAAATGCCACGGGGCGTATTTAACTAGACACATTTGTTCCTTTAAGCACTGGACGTTGGGAAATAAAATTGAAAGACCACAAAACTGGACAAGAGACGACTGAGGTGTTTGACTTTGTGCTTGTGGCTAACGGTCATCATGGAGAACCAAATCGGCCCAATTTCCCAGGTTTGGACAAATTCAAAGGCGTTGTAAGTATAACCTATTTATTATTTCTCACTGGTTATTGAGTGGAGTTTATCAAAAATCATCATCATCATCCAGGGTTTGCTGTAGTCTGGTTATATCTTAATTCTTTTAATGTCGGAAGGTCATAGCTGATTTGTCAGAGAGGCAATAATGAAAACACTAACCTACTTCCACAGGTGTTAGATACAGAATCCGTATTGCTTGTCTGTCACCCATCTGTCTTTTCAGACAATAGTGTTGCGATACAAGATGACATTGGATTCATAGCCAGACCTGCTTTAATTAGGAAAAGCTCCCACAATTAGAACATGAGTTGTCAGGGCCATTATTGAAACCACATATATTCTATTTTTAAATATACCGTTTTATATTTAATGGGATTATTCTCAGACACTCTGTTGTTAATCTAATCGCCATAATTTTCTTATTTATTCCTGATCATTTCTCTCCATAAAACATGATGCACTGCTTCCTATTTCCATGAGCCCACCTCAATATCTGTATGATGCATATCCTGCTTGCAAACATCTATATATCGTAGTTGAGACTGATCTTGACATCTTCTACACATCTGTAATTCACCGTAAAGGCTGTCCTTAAGGTCTTCTTGCCGTCTGGAGAGAGAAGAGAAACCTCCTGAGGAATCAATGAGGAGATTGCAATTTAGAACCTGATCAGAGGAAACGTCTTTATTTTGACATCCCTTTAAATTAATGCAAGTTTTCAGACACACTGGAAGCCACAGCATCAAATCTTGGACTTATAACCATCTTTTAAAGGATTTAATATTAGTATCAACTAAACATTTATCAGACAGACAGCAGCTGAACCAACCAGCTTGTTAACCAATCAAGTAGCTAGTCAGCAGATGAACCAACCAGTTTGTTAACCAGTCAACTAGCCAGTCAGCAGATGAACCGAACAGCTTATGAACCAATCAAGTAGCTAGTCAGCAGATAAACCAACAAGCTTGTTAACCAATCAACTAGCCAGTCAGCAGATGAACCGAACAGCTTATGAACCAATCAAGTAGCTAGTCAGCAGATAAACCAACCAGTTTGTTAACCAGTCAACTAGCCAGTCAGCAGATGAACCGAACAGCTTATGAACCAATCAAGTAGCTAGTCAGCAGATAAACCAACCAGTTTGTTAACCAGTCAACTAGCCAGTCAGCAGATGAACCGAACAGCTTATGAACCAATCAAGTAGCTAGTCAGCAGATAAACCAACAAGCTTGTTAACCAATCAACAGATAAACCAGACTGTCAGATATTTAGCAGTTAAAACAGCCAGCCTGTTAACCAGTTAACAGTTTAACAAACCAGATTGTTAACCAGTCAGAAATTCATCCAACAAACCTGTTAACCAGTCAAGAGTTCAACAATCCAGATTGTCAACCATCCAGTAATTCAGCCAACCAAACTGTTAACCGGTCAACAGATCAACAAACCAGACTGTTAAACACTTAGTAATTCAGCTAACCAGCCTGTTAACTGGTCAACAGTTCAATAAATCAAATTGTTAAACAGTCAGTAGCTGAGCCAGCCAGCCAACCAACATGTTAACCAAGCAAGAAAGCATAAGGCAAAAGATTTAAAATGTATGTGTGTGTGTGTGTGTGTGTGTGTTGCTAGTGCTGCTGCTGTTTTTGTTGTTGTAGTTGTTGCTTAAATTATTCACAAACAGAAAAATTGTGAACACAAGAAAATTCATACTAACAATAATTTAATCCTGGCTGTTATGTGTGTATTTACCACACAGACAATGCACTCCAAAGAATTTAAAGATCTCAACAGTGTTGTGGGAAAGAGAGCTGTTGTTGTTGGGATTGGCAACTCTGGTGGCGATTGTTCAGTGGAAATCAGCAAATACATGAAGGTAAGCTCATCTTTCGTCTGGAACTTTCAGGGAAGTAAGAACAAACAAACAAACTTTATTTTCAGAGTGTTGAAAACAGGGCAGGCATGTCCGTAATACTTAACGCCCTTCTTAATACTCATCTTTTATACTTCAGTTGTATTTTATCTATAAAGTACCTTATGCTATATAATATGAACTCTATAGCGAAGTGGCCAGATGCAGCTATGCTTGTCTGAAGGTCTCCAGTTCCAGTCCGTATAGAGCCAGATTATAAAAGAAGAAGAAAAGATGGCTCACAGGCTGCCCAAACCTAAAATGTGTACAGAAAAAGCCCTAGGAAGTAAACGCAGGTGATGTGATATTGTCCACATAACCCACTAATCATAATAGGACTTTATAAATATGAAATGCTCAATATAAAAGAAAATGTGACTAGAAAGCCCAAGAGAGGGAATGGAGAAGGTGAACAGAAACATAACTGAACGTTTCGACCAAAATCTTTATCAATGGAGTGCTTAATACAGCACAAACTGTGACTGCAAAACTCAATGGACAAGACAACAGACCTAATTAGATGTGTTTATGGGCATCTTTTACATTACCTCCATTGAGCTTTCTAGTCACATTTTGTGTTATATTTGGCGTTTCTTGCGATCAGCTCGACCACAGTCATCCCCTGTTTACGACATCACAGTGTCATAACCCAAGTAAAAGTATGACTATTCATATGTAAGAAAAAAAAACCCGTGTATCTTTGAATATTTCGCGGCGCCCCTGTGAACAGGTCGTGGCTCCCCGTGGCACATATTCTAGGCCAGAATGTGTATTTTAGGTTGAGCAGTGTCCTTTCTCACCACTTTTATGTCACAAAAATTAGGTCATTCTAATAATTTATAACCTACTGATATGAGATTTAAAAAAAAAAAAACAATAAATAAACAACCGCAAAAATATATTTTATAGCCTGGGAGTTGTGGTTTTACATTAAATTCCTTGAAATTTCTTGACACAAAAAAAAAACAAAAAAACAAGGAACCCGGATGTTTTGAAAGACTTGTGGGGTTGAAGACTAATTATCACAAACATCCTAAAAAGAGTGTTATCATTTTTTTGTTGTTGTTATGAGAAGAAGGAAACTAGAATATCTTGTGTCCATTGTGAAAATCTGTTTAAACCCCTTCCCCCTCCCCCCCCCCCCCCCCGCCCCCCCCCCCACCCCCCCGCCCCCCCCCCCCCCCCTCCAAAAAAAAAAAACAACAGGACATTGAAAGACAATGCTAAAAGATTCTTGACATCCTTTTGTCATGGCGAAGAGAGGTGTCAGCACTTGAACTGATACATACTGAAGATCACAGATTGTCGAGAGGCATGATTGCCAATGCCTGTCAGCAAAGCAGTTGATGATGGTGAATGATACGAGGTTGGACCAACGCAACTATATATTGCTAAGAAACGAAATCTACTTTTGCAAGTGTTTGAAATAGGACCACTGTTTTGGGAGGCAACTACATTTCTGCTGCACCTTCTGACAAATGCCCTCTACAGTAGAATCTTGTTTAACGAGCACCTCTCATAGTGAGTTATTCGCATATCGAGCAAAATAAATTGTAAAAGAATGACTTGCTTAACGAGCGACGTTTCACATAACGAGTGGCGAGGAGAGGGGAAGTCCCAGATTTTGCGCTTGTTACATCAGTGTTTATCACTCGTTCCAGTAGCATCGTAGTGTTTCTTGTGCTCACACATTTTCTCAAACTTGTGTTATATTGTGATATATGTACATAAATCCTCCAGGCCTACAAGATGACCTCCCTGAAGAATTTAAGTTCATCAAGATCCAGTTTCTGCCTCCCAACACCACTCTGTTACTCCAGCCAATGGACCAGCAAGTTATTTCTAACTTTTAGAAGCTCTACACTAAAGTACTCTTCGAGCATTGTTTTCAGGTGACTGAAGGGACCAACCTCATTCTCAGAGAGTTTTGGAAAAATAACTTCCGCATCATTGCCTGCCTTAAGATGATCGACAAGGAAGCGAAAGGGGTTACTAAGAGAACCCTAACTTTTTCTTGGAAGAAGCTTTGGCCAGAAGTGTTGTCGATTTGTGACTTTGAGGGGTTCGAGACAGTACCTGTGAAACCTGCAGTCAATGAGATTGTGACTTTGGCCACTATCATGGAATTGTAGGTGGATAACAGTGATATCGAAGAGCTTATGGAAAAGCACAGCCAAGAGCTGACCACCCAAGAGCTTATGGAGTTGCATTGTGTTTCACAGCAAGAAGTTTTTGGGGGAAAGTTTGTCAGAGGAGGAGGAGGAGGTAACAGCAAAGCAACAATCTTCTGGCGAAATAAGAGAAATGCTGAAAGCATGAGAAACTGTTGCATCTCACACTGAGAAGATTCACCCTAATAAGGAAGTGGCTATGAATGCTGCAAATTTATTTAATGATAATGCTGTGTTGCATTGTCGCCAAATTTTGAAGAGTCGGCAAAAACAATTGTCTCTGGACATCTTTCTAGGAAAAAAACGAATTAGCTATGTATCATAATTATTTCGACTTTTTTTTTCTAAAAATCGAATTCGCATTCCATGTGGGTTTGTTCCACAATTGAAGAAAAGATGAAGATGATTCACTCTCCTTTAATATTTATATAATTTTCTTTGAATCAACGTTATAAATAGCATTTAATGAGTATTTTTTTCAACATGGAACACATTATTGTATTTTACCATAATTTATACGAGAAAATTGTTTCGCACAACAAGTGTTTCATTTAGCGAGTATGATTCTGAAACGAATTATGCTCGTTAGGTGAGGTTTCACTGTACGTAATGTTATACATAGGTTGATAATCCATTAGATAGCTATACCTTAGTTTGTAATGTTCCTGGTAACTTCAGTGAGTTCAGTTTTATCTAACGTTGAATGTCCCTAACTTACATGAGATAGCTCTATTCAATGTTGAATGTTCCTAAATTACTTTACTCAATGTTGAATGTTCCTTATAACTTACATGGGATAACTCTACTCAATGTTGAATGTTCCTTATAACTTACATGAGATAGCTCTACTCAATGTTGAATGTTCCTGATAACTTACATGAGATAGCTCTACTCAGTGTTGAATGTTCCTGATAACTTACATGAGATTGCTCTACTCAATGTTGAATGTTCCTGATAACTTACATGAGATAGCTCTACTCAATGTTGAATGTTCCTGATAACTTACATGAGATAGCTCTACTCAATGTTGAATGTTCCTGATAACTTACATGAGATAGCTCTACTCAATGTTGAATGTTCCTGATAACTTACATGAGATAGCTCTACTCAATGTTGAATGTTCCTGATAACTTACATGAGATAGCTCTACTCAATGTTGAATGTTCCTGATAACTTACATGAGATAGCTCTACTCAATGTTGAATGTTCCTGATAACTTCCATGAAATGACTAAAATAATGTTGAATGCTCCATCAGGTGTTCTTGGCCACAAGGAGAGGAGCCTGGATCCTGAATAGACTGGTCAAGAATGGCATGCCTTGGGACTATGAGTTCCACTGCAGGTTTCGGACCTACTTGAGTAAATGGTACCCCAGATCCTATAGGTAACTTGCCTGTTTTTATTCAGTTAATTCCCTGTGTGGGTTCTGGAGCCTCATCATCAAGGAAACAAATAAAAGACACCCTGCTCCCTAACAAGCAGGTTTTAAGAGCCAACTAATTAGGGATGCTTCCTTCAGAGTGCATTTGGCTGAGGGGCAAGAATTCAACAGTCTGCATACAGATGAGTCAGATCTGTAAAATAGATTCCCATGCAACACTCAGTTTCTGAAACAAGACTAAAGTCCAGAAATGGACGACCAAGCAGATCTTTCTGCTAGGGTTTACTGTCAGTGAACACTAAATAGTAGCGTTAGTAGTAGTTGAGATTTCGACTTCACCGTGGCTGGGTCACCGCATACATACTCCATGCCTGTGTCAGTGAAAATCAAATAAAATGTTCTTCACTGTCACATTTTAAAAACTGGTAAACAATTAGTCCTGGCACAATCCAGAAATATGCACACCCAGGAAATGCACAAGACAGTTGCTAGAAGCACCTAAGCCAACACTCGCCATCAAAAATGCATTTTGTCTTTGACAGAAGTAGTCAGTCACAATGAGCTGGCCATATCCACGAACAACTATTACAAAAGGTTTATCACCATCTTACACGTAAACTGACTACCCATCACTTTGAACACCACGACACAAATGCTGCCCAAATGAAAGGCCTTCCACATGAAAAACACAGTGCTGCAACAGGCACTTAAAGCTTGGGCAGTGAAACTGTAGGCTTCCGCCAATTAGAAACTGCATAGGCAAAGTGCTGTCAGAAGCAAAAAAAACCATTAAGCTAAAAATTCTGCTTTGCCTGTCATCCATATTCGGTTGAAAGTCAGTCAGTGCAAAAATGAAGGTGAAGAAGTGTTAATTTAATCAGAAATAAAGAAATATTCCTATAGCTTGATGCATATGGGGTATATGGTGCTAGCCAGGGGTGTTAGAACCTGGGGGCTTTGATCCTTTAACTCGCCCCCACCACCCCCATCACACACATAAAACAATTGAAGTGTGGTGCTGAACCCCATAGAAAATGTGTAATGGGACTGAAGAGTTGCCCTGAACACACTAGAAACACACTCCCACCTAATCACACACAACAACAAACTGCAGCAACAATAACGACAACAACAACAAACAGATTATGATAAAATACATGACCTGTATTCCAAAGCAAACGCACGCACGCACACACACACGTGCGCGCATGCACGCACGCATGCACGCACACACGCGCACACACACACACACACGTGTTTTTGTTAAAAAATGTTATCCGTTTTCAGAAACAAACTCTGGAAGGAAGGTCTCAATGAGAGGTTTGACCACGAGCTGTACCACATTAAGCCAGAGCATGAGCCCGACGCTCAGCATCCTACTGTCAACGATGAGCTGCCTAATAGGATTGCAGCAGGCATGGTCAAAGTCAAGCCGAACGTGCGCAGTTTTACTGAGAAAGGTACTTATGTCCCTTGTTTAGATTATCTTCTGACTCTGAAAACTACAGAAGAACAGACAAATAAAATGCAGTTTAGGCACTTCTTTGTGTGCTGTCCCTCTTCAAATAACGTGCACTTTCTTCACTACCTCAAGTAACGTCATTTCTAAACTTGTTCACCAAGAAGAAGAAGAAGCAGAAAATAAGAAGAAGAGGAGGAGAAAAAGAAGAGGAAGAAGAAAAAGAAGAAGAAGAACACGAAGAAATAGCAGTAATAATATATCTTTTATAACACCAACAATTTACAGTTTTGAAAACTCACTGATATTTAGATTAAAAATATATGTTTATTTTATATTGCTTATACGCATGTTTATATTACTATAATTTGAGAACAAATTCATCTTTAACATTTAAACTGATTTAGCCCATTAACAAATGCTGCACTGTCATGGAGAATACCCAGGTTGGATTCATTGGTAAGCTGATGGACGGGTTTTCCTTTCTGTCCCCGGCAAAAATTAAATCTAACCTGCACAGTCCGTGGCGGCTACACTAACCATACCATTTTAACTCCTCAGTCTCTAAGCTGCCATCCCCTTTCCTACCTACACTGCTAAAATAGTACATATTGGCAGTTATGTCAGTGTTCATAAACACTGATTTGTTAGCACATTGATATTAGCACGGAATGTTATGATGACAGCAATATTTTACATCTTGTAATGGAGAAGTATGGTTTATGAACACTGTAGGATTCCTGATGTAATATTTCAGGTGTGATCTTTGAAGATGGAAGCTTTGAAGATGATATTGATCTGGTTGTTTTTGCAACAGGATACAAATTTGGTTACTCTTTCATTGTAAGTATTAGGAGTATATCGTTTATGATTAAATTTGTTAATGATTTATTATTTATTATCTGAAATATTTAATTTATTCTAATTTTAAAACATAATTTATATTCAAGCCTGGCTCTGAACATTCAACTAGAATTTCTCGGCAAATGAGACACATTGTCTCCCAGGTGTGCAGCTTTCTATTTTGCAACTCTCTTTTCTGTGAAAGGCTGTCATTTTCTCAAATGTGTTGTTGTTATGATTAGGTCTCATGTGCTGAAGGCACCTTTGTACAAGGAAAAAGTAGTGCAGGGAAACGTGCCAAAGGTACGATGCTTCATTAGTATCGAATCATTGATGTTTTTGTATTTGTATGTTCATTGGAGGTGGCTGTCATCAATGGTGGATGTGCTTACAATTGGCAAAACATAGAACATATGACACCCCCATTCTATAGAAGTGTCTAGGGAAATCCCCTACAAATCACACAGCCAACGAGATGGGGTGATGTTTGTGAGGTGTACCAATTGTTCTAATCACAACTTCATTTTACACTTTACACAGGGCAAGGATATCCTTGAGGTCAAGGACAACAGGGTGGAAATGTTCAAGAACATGTTTATACCAGATCTGCCCAAACAATCCATTGCTTTTCTGGGAGTGGTTCAACCACTGGGTGCCATCTTTCCTATTTCAGAGATTCAGTCTCGACTGGCCGCCTTAGTTTTCAAGGTTGGTACATTCTATATAATTAAACTAAGCCTGTTTGTCCGTACTGTTTTTGTCTGTAAGTGCCACATTGTATACGTGTTTATTTATACAGTTACTATGAGTAAGTTTAACGTCTGCTTATGAATTCACAGTGTCTTAATTTTGCTCTTAATTCACAAAGTGTATACAAGGTCAGACAATTAAGTAATAAGACTAATTCCATAAACATTTTAGGCCAAAAGTTCTTGTTTTGATAATGTCTATTGGGTACTCAACACGCTGATGTTTTTGGTCAATAGGCAACGAATGTAGTGAAAGCCGGCAAGCAACTTTTTCCTTGCCAAAATTTTGCATTAAAATGTTATGAATGGTCCATCTACTAACACAAGATTCATCCACCATCATCCTCACAGTAAAACAATGATCTTCTTGAATCTATTCTCTGACTTTTGCAATGAGTTCATCATTACTTACAGAAATTTAGCGTAAATGTCTTGGTGTATTAGTAATAATTTCCACACCACTTTTGAATCATGAATACCACCTGAAAATGTGTGCACGAGATCAACAATTATCCCCATAAACTTCTTGCATCAGTTAAACTGTTTCTGAGTTTTAAAAAGAATTTAATGTTAGCTTTTTGCTCCGCCCTGATTATGTAACAATGCACCTCCGACTAGGTCAACAATATGGTGGCTTCTTTGTTGTCTGCTTATTGGGCGGCGATTCAAAGTTGCCAGTTCATAAGTGAATGTTGTTTCTTTAGATTCCATGCTTTGCTTCATATATGGCATTTTTGTCTTAGCTATAATAAAATAAGTCTCATTACTTAATTGTCGGACTTTGTATATTGCCATTCATACACAAAATGTATATGTTGCCACACAGTCAAAATGCATGACTTTACATTCATTTGTATACACATAGCCATACACTTAAATGCATAACTTGGAGTGAAGCATAGTGAAACATGTTGGTGCTGTATTCAGGCTCAAGATAGGAGACATTATAACTAAGTTCTCATGGAAACACTCTGTAAAGGTACCTTAGTGTGGCTGTTGCATCAAAGGACTAAGCATCACTGGGAATGCCCATTGTATAGTGACGTTGACTGCAATAACATAACATAACTTACAGTGAATATTGTCAATATAATTACAACTTTTTTGTGAAGCTACTCTCATGTAATATCTTTGCCTCTGATTCTAGTGATTTATTATGTACCCACATATCTCCCCAGGGTGCTGTGAAACTGCCAAGTCCAGAAGCCATGAAGAAAGACATCAAAGCACATCTCTCGGTCCTTCAGAACCAGTATGTTCAAACAGCCAGACACACCATACAAGTCGACTGGCTTCCATTTATGGACGAAATTGCTGAACTGGTTGGCTGCAAACCCAATCTTTGTAAGTTGGATACCTTGAAACAATTATTTTCCTCATGAATTTAAAAAAAATAAAAAAGGCGGACATAAACAAACTATTTAGCTGCTAGGTTTCACTGTAGCAAAGATTACCTGAGTCTTAAAATCCAAGCTAGAAAGGGCACTGAGGGCAAGATCTTTACAAAAAATCCCTGGAAGGTCATACACACATCACAAATGACAAAGTTTCTCACATATCAGCATTCAACACAGTCGCAGCTAATAATTTGTTATAAACAGAAGTGAAAATACAGAAAATGCAATTGTACAGACATGCAGTAAGACCTTCTAGTCTTTTTCAAAAGGATATTTTAGGGCTCAGTACATGGTTTCGACAGTGGTATCGAGAAGCCAACCATTCAGAGGCAATGGCAAACTACTGGACGTTTATTTGCCTAGAAAAATCACAACAGCTAAAAAAATGTTTGGGTTGGTTTTGCTATGTCCTTTAAAGGATATCTAACTAACATAACATGGAAAAACGAAAAGAGAAGGCCAAGAAAAAACTGGGCAGACTGAGCGAGTCCCAAACGTGAGAAAGAGGAGGTGGGATATGATCAGACCATCAACAGCAACTGGTGACCAACCTAGATGCAGTTTTATGGGAAGATGATGACAAAATTTCACTAAATCTAATCAGGTGCATTACTACACAGTTTACAGCAATGTATAATGTAGCACAGAACCTAGACACGGTTTTATGGGACAATGATAATGACGACATTTCACTGTATCTAATCAGGTACATTACTACAAAGTTTACATCAATGTATAATGTAGCACAGAACCTAGACACGGTTTTATGGGACGATGATAATGACGACATTTCACTGTATCTAATCAGGTACATTACTACAAAGTTTACATCAATGTATAATGTAGCACAGAACCTAGACACGGTTTTATGGGACGATGATAATGACGACATTTCACTGTATCTAATCAGGTACATTACTACAAAGTTTACATCAATGTATAATGTAGCACAGAACCTAGACACGGTTTTATGGGACGATGATAATGACGACATTTCACTGTATCTAATCAGGTACATTACTACAAAGTTTACAGCAATGTATAATGTAGCACATAAAATTTCATACTTCCATGGCAATTACGAGGTTATTCTTAGTCTTCCTAAGTACAATGTAACTAGAGACCTTGTGATTTGGATATTTTGATAGTAAGCATTCATGCTTTGTGATACTTTTATTTTCATTTAATTTTAATATTGCCCTTTGACAAGATATGGTGAAATATGCAAGGCAGTAAATTATTTTGCAATCTATTGTGTCTGCATTATTAACAATAAGCATAGTAAGTTCTTTCTAGTTTTTCAAATAATTTTTATTTTATAAGGATTGTGCCTGTCAGTGTGTCATCCAAGATGCAATTCTCAGTTTATCATGGGTAGGTAGGTAGTTGTACCCCACCAGGACATCATACAAGTGATAAACACCCGGTGACACAAAGTGCCACTTTGCGGATGAGGATCACCCGTGGAGAGGTCCGAGAAACCCCTTTCAGCTGTTAGGCCATATTTATGGCTAGACCATATTTATGGCCCGGTTATATTCAGGGCCACTGGCTAAAGCTAGGGTGGGGATTCAAATAACAAAAAGTTGCATCCCCCAAGTGGACGACTTCAGTTATATTTTTGGGTTATTAAGCCATTTATTTAGCATTCTTGAGGGGAAACAGATGATGATGACAACGATGACGCCGAACATCATTATCATTGTCAAATCATATTGTCAGCAGGCTGCGAGAAGGGAGAAATGGGGAAAAGTTTAGAAAAAAATAAGGAAGACATTAAAATGATGCACAGGAACAAGATGTAGAGAAAATAATATTGGTTAATTTGATTAGGTGTAAAATATTATAAATAGTTTTAGTCAATTATCACATATAATAACATACTCATATCACATTTATTATTATTGTTTTTTTTTCTTTATGATATTTCAATAATAATAATAATAATAAATTATTGCACACTTAAACAAGACCTAAGCCATTCAGCCCAACTCAACCCAGCCCAATAGAAAATTATAGAAGGTGACAGGGAATTTTTTCTTCAGGGAGGCACACCTGAAATTAACTGCCTAAGGGTGAAGTTGTAAATATAAGATAGGCTGCTTTTACTTCCTACAATATATTCTGTTGCTAATATGCCAAGGCCTAGAAGGAATCCCTACACACTCCTACACAGCCAGCCAACAATGAAGAGTTGTTAAGAAAAGCAGACTGCGGTAATAAAAATATGTTTAAAAAAAGGGAAACAACACTATTCAACTGCAAAAGCAGTACTGGTAGTCTGGTAGTCTTAGTTTCAGCTTCATAGCAAACGGGTTGCCCCATCTTTGCTCCGCTCCTGTGCCAGCGAAAAACACTCAGAATGTTTATCACAGTCCCTTGTGGAAAGATTGACAGACTGCTGTCTCAGCATATCTAGCATACACTCGCATTAAAGCATATGGTAGCCATCCGAAGTGCTAACACAAACAGTCCAACATTAGAAATGCAGTTCATCATTGATGTTAGCAGAACTTGTCGTCAACAGATCAGCAGTTGTCCGCGTGATAAATTTTAATACGGGTCCCGCAAGCATTAAACTACAGGCATCGCGCCATTTTCTGAATCTACAATTCACACCACCACGTTGGTCACAGTCGAAAAAAACCATTCCAAATGCAATCCGCAGCTCACAGGGTCACGCCATGCATTCAACTCAGAAGCTGGGCGACGAAACTATATCCAGTCTACAAATAGAGCAAAAATGCATCGGCCACGGTCCGGCAGAAGCAAAAAATTTGCCTCTGTTCCGAACGGCGCTGCTGTCTAGCATCCATTTTAACCGGAAGTACTATAATACTTGTGTACCGTGTTCATTTGTGTTGTTATATTACTGTTTCTATTTTTGTAACCACCATATGTGGAGTTAATGCAACATTTGCTGCTTCAGTGTATCTTATTTTTGTTACTGTTTTTTTGCATTAAAGCTCCATTCACAATCCATTTTACTGGATAAATTGATAACAGTATTAGGAAAAGCCACTTGAGAATCAGTTAATGTTATAATAAATTGTTGAACAACCAAATTCGAATACCTGCCACCATTTAGGAACACATGCTCAGCCAAAATACCCTTTATTCAATAATTAACATCACTATAACTAATACCAGTTACTAAAACACCAGTGTACAGCTTAAAACGTGACGTAATACACAAATTAATAATGGTGCACAAATAATTGATTTCAGAAAGTCTACAGTAATTAATTTGATAGAATAACTAATGTTGAGCTTTGGGAGAGAACTAAACAGGCTCCAGTGGACCAAGAGGTGAGGAAAAGATGCTGGCGTTGGATAGGACACACACTGAGAAAACAGGAGAACATCATAACTAGAATGTCTTTGCATTGGAACCAAGAGGGGCATAGGAAAAAATGGAAGGCCAAACAACACATGGAGAAGAGAGCTGGAGAATGAAGTTAAAAAGATGGGGAGGACATGGGGAGAGCTCAATGTAATGGCGAAGGATAGAATGACTTTTTGTGAGTTGGTTGAGGGCCTATGTTCCATTGGGGGATAGAAAGGCAGAAGAAGAAGACTGTAATTAAACACACACCCTATATTTTCATGTGATGTTCTTTGCTTTGTATTCTGGCTGAAAATCGAGATTACACCCTAAAGAGAAGTAACTGCAGACAGTAAAGACAGTTTATATCCCTTGCACTTGTTTCAGTAAAACTGCTGCTGACTGATCCAGTTCTGTTCAACAAAGTTCTTTTTGGACCTGGTGTACCCTACCAGTACCGGCTGCATGGACCAAACCCTTGGCCAGGTGCAAGGAAAGCCATTATGACAACAGTAAGTGTCATTCCTTTTATCTGTTATCATGGTTTTACTTTCTGTTTCCACAAATTATGTCTGTACATGTTTGTGTGATTTCTTTTTCTTTATATTCTTCTTCTTCTGCTTCTTCTTCTTCTGCTTCTTCTTCTTCTTCACTTGTTTATACTCTGGTGGAAAGTCCTAGTTGTCAATCTACTTCTGGGCGTTGGTCTTGTAGGACCTTAGTGTTGCATGCACATTCCACTTATAAATGTCTAATATTTGTGGACTGTTAATTGCTTGCCAATCAGGCAGATGCACTCTACTTCCAATAAAAGTATGATCCAAAGTGAGGGGAGCTTGAAATAAAAATTTAAAATGTGAAAAACATGACAAAAACCATGCCATCATCCTGTAACCTTTTAATATTGTTAAAAATGTCATGAGGGTTAAGAGCCTGATACGATGATACAGGTGAACATGGTGATCTCATAGTAACAGATGACCACACCACTTTTGACATGCACCAAAGAGGAGAAGCGTTCTGTAGTCTATTTTTTTTTTCCAGGAAGTTAACCCAATCAAAATAAAAGCTGGATGTGTTGGTCAAGTGCAAATATAGAAGTTTTGTTATAAACAGATGCAACATCATTTCATCACTCACACAAACAAGAAGAAGAAGCAGAATACACTGTCTATTGTTGGATCGCATACACATTTCTCATAATAAACATATCTCATCACACGCACATCTCATCACACATACACATCTCATCATACACACATTTTATCATACACATATCTCATCATACACACATCTCCCATTGCACTCATCTTACCACACACACAAACACCCACACCCACACACAAACATGCATCTCACTATACACATATCTTACTACACATAATCTGACCCCATGCACACCTCACCACACACACATATCACGACACACACATCTCACCACACACAGATACATCTCGCCATGCACACATCTTGCCACACACATATCTCCTCACCATGCACATATCTCACAACAAGCACACCATCCCACTACACACATATCTCACAAAAGCACATCATCCCACCACACATGCACACCACACCATGCACATATTTCACAAAAAGCACATGATCCCACACAAACACACACACACACACACACCACACCATGCTCATATCTAACAAAAAGCACATAATCCCACACAAACACACACACACACCACACCATTCACATACCTCACAACAAGCAAATCATCTCACCACACACGCATGCACATAGCTAGCAGATCATCTCACCACATACACACACACATATCTCCCCATGCACATATCTCACAACAAGCACATCATTCAACAGCACACATATCTCACCACACATAACACACACTCACACCCATGCATCCCACCACAAACATCTGACCATATATATATATATATATATATATATATATATATATATATATATATATATATATATATATATATATATATATATATATATATATATATATATATATATATATATATATATATCTTACCACAAGTGCATCATTCCCCTTCAGACATCACACCCCACACGTCCGACTACACTCACACATCTCACCACACATCACTAAAAACATGTTTCACCATAACAATTTCAGCCTACCAAAAACAAACTCACAATACATCAGGACACAAAATCGGAATAATCGGTTAATATAATTATATTTTACAGCTTGACAGGATAAAGAAGCCATTCGAAACCCGGACAGTGCCAAGCAGCCAGCCACAGAGAAGCTCCTCCTGGTTCAGATATCTTCTACTGACCTCTGCTGCAGCCGCTGCTGTTACACTTGGAGTGTCCTATATAAAGGAGAGCAGTGTGGACTTGAGCAAATTCCTGCCCGAAGTTCTGAGGCAGTAGTACCTCATACATCAGTGCACCTTCAGCCTTTTACTTCTAGCTGAGTGATGTTGGGGCACATGCAATAAATAATATTCAAGTTAAATATAATGAATTGTTGGACAACAAATCACCTTTGATCACTGGCATCATGGGAGCTAATATACTGAAATGGTTTGATCATACTGGAAAAATGTCAGATGACAGATAAGTAAAAACTGTCTACACAAGGGAGATGAATGGTCATAGACCATAAGCAAGACCAAGAAGATGATGGAGAGATAATATCCAAGCAGACCTGCAAATACTTGTTGTCACCAAACAGAAAGAGAAGGTCAACCAGAGAGATAAATGGAGGCCAATGATATCTGCAGCAATGAACTTCAAGGGCTTGGAATGCTGAAGAAGAAGAAGAATAAATATAATGAATCACTTTTTTTTTAAAAGCACACAGAAATTCATGCATGCATAACCCTGAATATTATGAAAAATGCAGTTAGAAAGCTTTGCAAATTAAATTACACAATAAACAACAAGTGTGTTATGGATGAGTGCATAGCTACAAAAATCTTTATTGAATATTATAAACCAACCAGGATTATTATTTAGCACTCTTTTATCGAATATAGATACACATATGTGTATATGTTTTTTTTATCTTTATGTCGAAATGTCCACAATCCGTGTTCCAGAAACAAGGTTACTTTTGTTACCACTTAACATCACTATGCTGTCATTATAATAATTTGTTCATGTGCTATGTTATTGTTTTCTTTGTCAACCAAAACGAGAAAGATAATTCTTAAAACTCTATAAATGCTTTTTGAATATGTGGAAGTGAATCACTGACAGTTGGTCGATTAAAGGCAAATTATTTGAAAGCTCTGGAGATCTGGTTTTATCGACGATTTCTGAGAATATCCTGGACAGCTAAAATGAGTTAATAAAGGTGTCTTAAAGCAACTGACTCACGAAGAGAACTGATTGCCCACGCCAGAAGGAGACAATCGAAATTCTTTGATCATGTCATGAGTAGGAGAAAACTAAATTGCATTGTGACATTAGTAAAGCTGGAAGGAACAGAGAGAGAACAAAAGAGAAGAAACTGGACAGTTTGACATTGTGACATGGAGATCATCTGTATCAGATTTGATTGAGAGTTACACGAGACAAAAAGTTGTAGATAGACATGACTACCAGTGTTACACTCCAAAGACTTTAAGAATAAGAAGGTATACTATTTGCATTTTCTCTGTACATTCAATCATCTTATCAGTATCACCCTTTTTCTTTTCTTTTTGAAAAAATATTTCATGTACTACTAGAAATTGGGAACCGCTGTGGTGTAGCCGCTAGATGCTCGCTGGTGGATCAGAAGGTTGTGGATTCAGGTCCTGATGCAGCCAGATTGTTTTTTTAGAAATGACCTTGGCTTTCAGGTCGACCCTGCCTTGAATGGGTCCATATAAAGTCATAGGAGGTTGGCATGTTACAGACTACAACACACACCAAGTGCTGATTGGTCTGTCAAATATAGGTCTAGCCCTATATAAAACCTTTACTTACCTTACTTTACTTACTACTATTAACTACTACTTTTTTATGGTAACTCGGAAATGACCTGGTATTCCAGTCCACCATACTGTGCTGCAACTCTGTCTTGCATTTGTCTCTGTGTGGGAACTAGAGTATTGCAAGTAAGGGCAGCAAAAAACAATGACGCTTTCTCAAAGATAGGTTAAAAGTTAAGAAGTTACTGATTTATTCTTCTTTGTGCGTTTGTCAATATTTGCTTTATGCTGCTAGGCCTCACAGTTTATCAGATGTTTTTTATGCTGAGGGAAGGTGCGCTCAGTTGATTAGTATGCTGTAATATCGTGAGGTTTCAGGCTGTCTGTGACTTTCTTGAGCCAATGCCTGCTAGGCTTCTTTCTGCCTCTTAGTGCTTCCATTTTCATGTTGTACTCTCTTAATGATGTCATAGCTGGATTCATTCTCACTAGTTCGCAGGTATGTTTAATTAGGGACTGACTTAATTAAGGAGATTCTAAATTTAAGGCCAGCTTGCGTGGAATGGGCAGAAAACAATTATTGAATTAACATAAATTTCTCTAACAGTATCACAATAAGGGAAGTTTTGTAATGTCAAACTGCACTATTACTTTGTTTTTCAATTGTATGTCTCCTTAATGGCCAGTTTATCCTTGTTCATTTCTGTTTGTCAAATAAAATAATTTCGGCATTAAAGCATTTTGTTTTATGTTTCCTAGCCAGCTTTTGAAGCAAGCAGGCACAAGAGACATACAAAAAAAAAAAAAAAAAAAACTTATGGATTATTGAAAAAAGACATGAATTTAATGAATGATATAATTATTATTGCAAAAGAATAAATTAACATTTCAGAGACTAGTTGACATTTTCTGGGTATCGTCATTCATGAGAAATCTAAGGAGCTTGAATCCTGGGCAACAATGCACACATGTGAGCTGTTGCACCCATGTAAGTCAATGCACCTATGTAAGTCAATGCACCCATGTAAGTCGATGCACTCATGTAAGTCAATGGTGGCTGGAAAATGGGGAAGGGGAGGGGATGTCATGAGTCTGATAATTCAAGGCAGCATGTCTAGTGCACCCGCCACCAACTGTGCAGGTTAGGACATTTTTTAGGTTGTGTGTTTGCACTAGAACACACGGGGCTTAGAAATAAAGACCGAAACAAATACACGGAGAAGAAATCTGGAGCCTGAAGTTGAAAGATAGGGATTACATAGTGTCGCATGACAGAATCCACACATCTGCGCAGTAGGAAGGTCCACAGGCTGAACACCCCCAAAATCGTCATCGTAACTATGATTTAGTATGGGCCGACCATAGTTATATAGTTCGTTTGTTGTGGGGGAGTCCTGATAGTAAAGATTCCTATAAATCACTATGATATTGACTCTTTTAGGCTTTTAGTGTCAAATTACACGTTAGGACACATTTTCTACGCCTATTCTAAATAAATTGTCTGACCACTGCACTGCATTCGTGAGCGGGATTCGTACGCTAACTGCTGTAGTTGGGGAACGTGTTTTTGTGCGTCACTTCTCTATAGTCCGGTCTTGGAGGCAGTCGCTGTCATTGTGTGTCGCCAATTGACCGTTAAAAAGACAAGATTCTTCATTCTCTTTTTATTTATCATAAGTGAGTTTTCATAGGGACTTTTAATTGAACATTGGTGCTCAAAGTGTCTGTGAGGTAGGTAAGTAAGGTCAGCAGATTGATAATGCGAATCTGTTTGACTACGATTCTTGCGATGGAAGACGGCGAAGGGTGCTCCGGATTGGAATGCACTTTCGGCTGACATTTATCGGGGAATTCTTCGAAATGGCCTTCTAAACCTCTTCGGATTAATCAATCCACATATCTGGAGTGGGTTTGTGGTATTGATAACTTTGTATGATTAGTTATTTGCTGTTATTCGGTATCAGAACTTGGTAAGTCGCTGAACCGTTGTGAATGACAAGAAGCTTCTGGGCAGGCATGACGTCATATCCGCTGTTGCTAGGTGACTTCGTAACCACAACAAGCTTCGACTGTCGTATTGGTTTCAGAACATATTTCAGTCGGTCTTGGTTTTGACTTCATCGCCTATCCCTTATCTTCCCTTTTAGTGGAAAAGGTGTTTTAGAAGGGAGGGTAAATAATGGAGATCTGTCTAACCTTCACTACAGGACTGAATCCAGGAACTATTCGAGTTATTGATCTAGTGCTCACCCTAGGAAACTAAATGGATTCCAAGATAGAGGTAACCAACCTTCATGGTTTGGAATAACCTCAAGTATATCTGAGCATTGGGAGGGAGTGAGGACTTTGATTAACTGGGTGCGTTGGGTACGGCTTGCTCATGGCTGTTGCTTTGCGTTTTTCAGGATTTACGAAGATCCAACAAGTGTCCGTGTCTGGTAGAGTGGTTCCATCTGCCACCACCCAATAAGCAATTGACGTGTGGTGAATTGCTTGGCTGATTGGGTGGACGATACTTGAGTCGATATCGTCCGATCTCGAGGTGATCGTCCTTGATCAATGTCAGAAGCTGCTTCGTTCCTGTGAAGTCGTGCTGTGAAGTACGACAGTGTGAAACTCCATTTCGGCATCTTGAGAAGCTGCTTTGTTCCTGTAAAGTCGTGCTGTGAAGTACGGCAGTGAGAAACTCCTTTCCGGCATCCTGAGAAGCTGCTTCGTTCCTGTGAAGTCGTGCTATAAAGTACGGTAGTGAGAAACTCCATTCCGGCATCCTGGGGAGCTACGAGATCTAATCAGATAAGTCGAAGCAATAATTGTGAAATGGCTCGTCTCCAAATGGGCCTTAGTGATAAATTCTTCACCTCCGCCATGATGATCCAGGAATTTGAAGTGTCTACGTAGAAGAACTCTTTCTCTTGTGTTAGATTTTCAAAGATTTGAACATTCTTGTTGAATTCTTCCCGCTACTTTTTGGCAACTTTGTTATGGTGAATTAATTACATTTAAGTTATAGTTCATCAGTCTTTTAGTCAGTAGAATAGTTTCAGTTTATTGGAATTCATTGTCGTATTCAGAGAGGTGGTCTTGTCTTGTCAAATTCACTGTTGATTACTTGTTTGACTGGGTTTCCGTTGATTCCCAGTCTGGGGGCATATAAGTGGTGGGGACGTCTGGCCGAGAGGTACCCAAGTGTTCATAATAACCCTGTGGAGTCAGAGCTCGTGCACCTCATCCCTGAGACAGGTTGAATGGAAAGTTTGAACCGAGGGTTAGGCCTCTAGACGAACGAGAGCCACCATTCAAAACACTCCTGTCTCAGAGCACCTGAGGGATTTGTGAAAATATTCCGTTAGTAAAGGTGCGCGACAAAACTGCCATACGACAATAGGGTGAACTGCTTGCAATAGCAAAGGATAAGACACATTTTCATAAGTTGGTTGAGACTTAAGCTGGGGATCTTGGTAATCTTAGTTTTAGTTTCATAGCAAACGGGTCACTCCATATCTTGTC